ATGTCACATACTGGGTGAAATTGGGGAAAACAGAGACCAATGATGCATGATTAAAATCCCCTGGTATTAAAAACAGTGATTGTGCAGATTGTGTCTGATGTCTGCTAACTACGGAGAGGAGAGAGTCACAGGCAGCCTCTGCATTCGCCGAGGGTGGAACATACGCAGTTACGACGATAACATGCAGAATTCCCGAGTTATGAGGTCGCATACTCACAGCCAGTAGCTCAAAATCCCTGCTGCAGAGTTGCTCCTTCAACGTAATATGATCCGGGTGGCACCATCCATTGTTTACAAACATCGCCAGCCCCCCTCCCCTCCTCTTCTCGCTGTCGTCTGTCCTGTTTGCCCGCAGTAACTGAAATCCAGGAAGTGAGACGTTTGAGTCCGGGATAAGCGATGTTAACCAGGTCTCTGTCCACATCATCATGCTCGACTGCCTGAATTCTGTCCGGTACCAAATCAGCCCAGCAAGTTCATCCATCGTGTTGGAGAGAGATCGCACATTCCCCATAGTGATGGAAGGTAGGGATGGTCTATACCGTCTCCCTCGTGGGCGATGGCGCTCCCTCCCTGCTCGGCACCCCCGTCTTTTCCTCTTCAACTCTCCGGGGATGTCAGGTCTGTCCGCCACACGCATCGCTGCGGGTTTCAGTGCCAGTAGCTGCTCTCGGTTGTCAACAAGACAGCCACCCGCCACGTCGCCGAACACCGACGAGAAAAAAAATTTACCAAACAATAACCAGAGCGAGCACAACCCAGTAGTGCATGTTTGTGTTGCTCCTAATGAAAAACCTAAAAAAAGAACTCCAAGAAAACTCAAGAAAAATAGTAAAGAATCAGAAGAAGCTCAGAAATGAACAGAGCTGCTGCAGCAGGCTGCCACTCAATGGAGGCGCCAGATATTTCACCTTTTCATGTTTTATTATTGTAATGATCCAGAAGGGGCTATTGTGAGCGCTGCTGTAGCCTAAAGTTGCTGTTCCTTTAAGAGAAACGTGCTGCTGGAGATGCAGGGAGATGTGAGTTTACCTCAGTTGTTTATTGGACTTCTCTGAACCACTGTTACGGGCAAAATGTCATTCCTTCTGGAGTTTTTTTGTTTTTAATAATAAGGAAATGTCTTTAATTACCTCACACAAAGCTTCAGATGCACAAATCAATAAGAATGCTCTCAAAAATGTGATGCCGCAGAAACCAGAGGCCGTGTCACGGAGAGGTTTATTTTATTTTGACAAGTTGAGACAGGAAGCACTTACGTCGGTTAATATTGTCCCATCATGCTCCCACTGCAGCTGCGGAGTGCACAGCACCTGACTTTCGCTGACAGAGATGAGGCGTTCAATGCGCCTCAGAAAAGGGAAGACATAACAGGTAAACTGAGAAGTAATGATGTAACCATGGTTTTTACCGATGAGAGACACACATGGAAAGATACACCGCAATATAGCTGTCAGTTGTAATCGATGCACACTGAAGCTACCGGTGCAATCGAATCGCTAACGTCATGAACGAACCACCGCTTCAGATCTGTGAATCTCTCCATCCCTACTCCAAAGCACTTTACACTACAGTGTATCATTCATCCACTCACACGCACATTCACACACTGGTGGCGATGATCTACGATGTAGCCTCAGCTGCCCTGGGGCGCATTGACAGGGGCGAGGCTACCGAGCACAGGCGCCACTGGTCCGTCCGACCAGTGGCGGTTTTACCATTAGGCATAGGTCTGCGGCCGCCTAGGGTGCCTTATGTTGTGGAGCCCCCTAGCCCTGACTGTAGGCACCCCTCTGTTAATGCCATAATGGATTTTTCCTTTAAGACGCCGATGCGCAAAAAGGAGGTGATTGCTAGTCATTCCACTCCAATCCAGTTGGTGGCAGTAATGCACCAAATTGTTGTTTGCCAAGTGCCATAAGACCACAAATAAGAAGAACAAGAGAGGCGGGAGTTTGTAACAAACTCAAAGCGGTTGTCAAAACATGAAGCATGAAATGGAGTTATCCTAGTGGCTCCAATAAGAGAAAGAAGCAGCTTGCTTTAAAAAAGCTTTTATCTTCACTTCCGAAAGTGACGTCATTTTTCATTGTGAACATGAAAAGGAAGCAGAAAAGGAAAGACAATGGAAAATGTTTACTGTGAGTCGGCAGGGTGAGTAGCTTGGGCTGATCTGGTCAGAACAGGCTTGAGTAATCCGATAGGATCAGGTAGGAACTCGGAACATAGTCTGGTTAGGATCGATGACTGAGTGGTTTGGTGTTGCACTGCACTTCCTTATGTAGACGTGGCGGGTGACGTGAGCCGGAAGGCTGGCGCTGGGAATGCTGGGTAGTGGAGTTCGACTGGGCTGAGTGAATGTGGGTTCCTCCGGGGGAGGATGTCGAGGGCTGAGAAGGAGGCAGCGTGACAAAAACAAAACCAATGCCACTGTAAAATCTTCTTTTTTCCAACTCCACCATCTGTCCAAATTAAGAGCTGTTTCATCCAGAAAAAATTTGGAATCAGTTGTTCATGCCTTCATCACATCTAGGCTCGACCACTCAAATGCAGTTTTGCTGGGTGTCAATAAGTCAACCCTTGCCCGACTTCAACTCGTTCAAAACGCAGCTGCTAGATTCCTGACACGTACTGACAGGTGCCGGCATATAACACCAGTTCTCAAATCCCTTCATTGGTTGCCCATCACTTTCAGGGTCCAATATAAAATGCTACTTTTTGTTTTCAAATGCCTCCATAGTCTTGCCCCCGTGTACTTTTCTGACCTTCTTTCAATTTATACTCCCGGTCGCGCACTCAGGTCCTCCAGCCTGTTGCTCCTCGAGGTCCCGAAAGCGTGTTACAAATCATGCGGACAAAGAGCTTTCTCTGTCGCCGGTCCTAAACTGTGGAACGAACTTCCAGTCACAGTTCGACTGGCATCCACCTTGGCAGATTTTAAGTCTAGACTAAAGACACTATTTTACCCTTGCTTTTAACAGTTAGCTGTTAGTTTGGCTTTTACTACTCTTATTTTATCGTCCATTGTTAGGTTTCATTGGTTTTATTGGTACTTTTTTTTTTTTGTCGGCTGTATCTTATAGTACTGTTTTATGTTTTTTATCTCTATTATTGTGCGACTGTTCAGCACTTTGGTCAGCTATATGCAGGGGCGGTTCTAGACCAAATTTTCCAGGGGGGCCACAGTGGGGCCAGTATTTTTTCATGGGGGCGCAAGAAAAAAAGGGAAAATTAGGGCAATATCAAATTTCTTCGGGTCCCATTTAAACTATTTTTAATCTTTTATTCAAAAATCCACCGGGTAAACAATTCTGTCCACAGAGTGTGCTGCACTCTAAAGGCTCCGTGTGAAACGCTGCAGCGCAATAGTTCCCGTCTCCGTCACTTCAGCCTCACAGGCTCCAAGGGCATCAGATTCAGATAAGAATTGTTTTGGGGACAGACAGAAATAATTTCCTCACTGCCTTAGAGTTCTGTTGGTCTTCAACCCCTCTAGATCCAATAATGGTGTAATTAATCTATCCCAGTCCGTGCTGATCCGTCCTCTCGCTCCTTGATGGTATCCACCTTCTGTGCCAGAGCCTGACTCTCAGCCAAAGTTCTAAGCTTACGACTCATCTCGACAGTTATGAGTTTGTGCGTTCACAGCACGATGCATTCCATCCCTGAGCTCCGGGATTGAGCCAATATTCCTCGAAAGCTCGTTAATTTTCCGGTATGCCAGGTGACCACTCAGGCCAAACAGCAGGAATCCCGACACCAAGGCAGCGCGGGAAAAAAAATCCAATCTCTTCAGCACAGGGGCCATAACAGGGGCCAGGGCCGGTTCTATAGGGGCCCAGGCCCCTGTGGGCCCCTATAGAACCGCCAATGGCCGTATGGCTGTGTTTTTAAAGTGCTGTATAATTAAAGGTGGTATGGTATGGAATGGTAAATATCTGGGTGTTGTTTTCTTTTTCCGAAGCGATTCAGATGGTTCCTCCACCTCCAGAGAACCACTCAACCTGCTGCAAACATCCCCAGTAAAAAAACAACTTGGTTGTGTCAGAAGAAACTAGGTTAGGGTGCATTTGCATCCTTTCACCCCGCATCCATGAATACACTCTCTGGAGGAAGGAGGCCGCCAAATATTTCTGCATTATGTAAGTGAGAAGTCTGTTGTGTGGTGCCCAGCAGGAGGCCGACAACAGAAAATGGGTTAGGCTGTTATTATCCTCCCAGCGGTCCATCGCCCCGCCCTTAAACCCTCGTTGGTTATGCAGGCCTTTATCGCACCAGTTTGGACTCAAACGAAGAGCAATTAATGATCATTAGCTGTCCTGTCTTCCCTTGTCCGCGTCCAGCCTCGTGGTTGGAGAGTAAGGGCCAATGGCGGCTCTGGGGTAGTCAGGCGTGCCGTGTGCACTCCATGGCCCATCTCCGTGCCACACTCTGGACAACACAATCTCCCTCTAATTATCTTCGGGGACCCAGATTCTGTTGGTCTGTGAGTGGTCACATTGCACCAGAGTGTGCTCCCTCCCCAAGCCTCCACATGGATCCCGCTCACCCTGCTGCTATCACTCCCCCCTCCTCCATCACTCACACACACACACACACCCGCCGTCCCCAAATCAGAGCAGTTTTATCCGTTAATGTGGCGGGAGGTCTCCGTGTGCCGATGCATTGTTTGTCAGCGAGGCGGCTGTGAGCAACCACAATGGGCTCACAACACTTTACCGTCACTGCTGTGCAAACATGAGGTCGCCCGGGACAAAACCGCCAAAAATGACCCGGCGTGGCTGCACAATCACACACAGATTAGGCCACTGGACCCAGTTTTATGTATTAATGGTTCTAATTTAGAACGCCCTTTAGTGGTAGCTTCCCAAATATTTGAAGAATCCACTTGGATCGACTCTAAAACATCATCCGGATGAAACTTCTTCTGCTTTTCTTCCAGTCTGTCAGAAACGCGTTGTGTCTCATTAACGATGTTCCCGCCTTCTCTTTTCTTGCAGTGATTTTATGCGGTCACTAATCAGCAACATGGACTTCCGCTCCCTTGAAGTGAGGCTCTTCAAAGCTAAGGTGAACCCTCCGCGCCGCATGTTTGGACTCGAGTTTGTTTACCCAAGGTGCACTTGATTACCTCGATGCACCATCAGATTAGCTCTGGCATTAGTGGCATTCATGCCACAAACATGGTCTCCGCCTCTCGGCTGCAGCCCTGCAGACACAATTATAATGAAATAAACAGACAAACTCTTTGAGGAGCGATTCCAAAGCTCGCTTTGTGCAGAGAACGCTTCTCAAGAGGGGCACTCGGGCCCTCGTGCATAGAAATGAGGGTAGCAAGCCAGAGAAAGAGAGGAGTGCTTTTCCCTTTTCATAGATTAGCACGGCCTTAATCTCATTAAAGGGCCCAGCAGTGAACATGTCGTCCACCCTGCCCAGGCCTGTAATCAGCCAGAGACACACGGCTCATCTCAGAGGGACAGGGACGAGCCGTCCAGCTGGCTGTTCACAGGCAAGCCCGGCCCTCGTCCCTACCTGGAAGTCAAAGACATGAAAGCCAGGCGGGTGTGGAAGCGGAGCCTCTGGCCAGGTACGGCAGGCTTCCCAATTACAGAGCTGTTGGGGATAGGCTTGTTAACTGGAGGGGGGTGGGCTAATAGCCAAAAGGATTATTACCCACAGCCCTCCCTCCTCCTCCTCCTCAACAATTATTACCTTGAACACATTAACTGAGCAAACAGGTGCGCTCAAACAGGACTAGAAATCTGAGGCTGCGCCACACAAAAACACCAGGTCCAGGATGTGGACATACTCACACTCAGCCCAGTTGAAAACAAATCCACGACCAGTTTCCCCTGTTAAACCTCGGATCAGACTGCTTTCATGGCTCCCCAAACACAAACACAACCCTTACTTATTTAACTTTTGCAGCCAGACTTCCCTTCTAATATTTAAAGAGTTTTTATCAAAAGTTCTCCAGACTTCCTTTTAAACTGCTTTATTTCTTCTGCTTTTTCAACTCTTTTGTGTATCGAAACCCTGCAGCAACTGTTCCTGTTCCTCCTGGAGGAGCAGCTAGAGGATTCGGGAGGAGCCCAGCAGGGCTTCATCAGCGGCGAGCAACTGCTGCTGGAGCTGAGGGCCGGCGGCATCCAGCTGGAGCAGGAGGTGGCCATCAGGCTGGAGCTGCAGCACATTCCTCCACTGGACCTGCTGGACTTCCTGGCCTACCTGCCCCTCTTCATGCTCATCCACAAGTCGGTGATCTCCAACCCCCTGGAAGATGTCAACCACCTGTGAGCCTGAGACCAAGCCCAATAACTGCTGAAATCAGCCAAAGCGTTCAACTTTATGTTGGAATTAGCAGAAAAAAGGATGAAATAAGTGAAATATTTGCCGGATGGAGAGCAGCGTGTAATTGTTTGTTTGTGTTTTTAGACTCTCGTCTGAATGAAGCTGTTTGTTGTCTTTGGTAACAATTTCAAAATAAAATGTGCTGAAGTGAAACTACATTTAAAAACAAATCATTCTGAAATTGTCTTCGAGTTTTTAAACAAAATAGCTGCTTTCTGTTTGCACATTTTTCTAGATTAAAGAGAAAAAAATAGAGAATGCAAATAATTCACGTTTACAAAAGCTTTCTGCGTCTTTCAGACATTTTCAAGTTTTGTTCATTCAATTCAGTTTATTTCTACAACGCCAAGTCACAACAAGTCGTCTTAAAGCACGTTACAAAGTCAACTTTCCAGTTGAACCTACTTATCGGTGCAGTGACCTCAGGTCATTATGCCAAGTTTTGGAAAACTGTCCATGAGATCATCTTTTGGCTTTGCTGATATTTGCTAACGTGTGATTGGCCGTTCCTGCCACCTGTGCACTTGACCGTTCTGCATTCCTGACATTGTATAAAAAGCATCTAGGCTGTAGTTGTACACGTATTTTTGTATACTTACTGTAAAACTATCTTTTTGTATTCTTTGGCTCACTTTTTAATCCAAATTTATGAGAAAAAAACGAACATTTTCCGTGGCAGCCTGACTGAACTGTTTCACATGGGACCTGTGAGAGTCCGGCTCATTTTCTAATAGGAATTTATTCAAAAAGTGTCTTTGTGTCTCAGTTGGTTTGCAAGTACCGACAACCGAGTTTCCATTCACGGACATGATGACCTTTGGGACTCATGGAAACCGAACAGAGACGGTTTTGAGAGGCTTTCCAGACAGGGGCATGTCCAGGGAGTGGCCTGGGGTAGCACATGCCACCCTTAGAATCTGATTGGCCACCCCCAGGTGCCACCCTACTAAGTTCCAGTTTAAATAGACTTTACATTGGGGACAAAAGGCTTGTGTGTGGTAGCATGCACCTTTAACATTGTCTTCTAGCCCAGGCCTACAGAACATTTCTGTAGTATTAATATTATTTATTATTTTTTCATATTTACAAAAATAGTATTTAGAGTCCCACTCAACTCCAGTTGGTGGCAGGAATGCAACAAGATGGGACTTGCTAACCACCACAAAACTAGAAGATGAATAGAAAAAAATGGTGATTGTGCAATGTGAAACTCCGAAATTCACTAGAAAGCAAATAAATAAATAAACGATTTGTGTAAATAAATAAGCATAACCATTGGTGCCACCCATGCATAAACAAGTGCCCCACATGGGCCACCCCATTTTAAAAGTCCTGGATGCGGCTCTGTTTCCAGACAGCTGCTTTATTCAAGTTATCAGGAAATCTGAAGGTTTCAACTTTTGTTTGATTAAAAAAGCTTTACAAACAAAAAAGTCTCTCTCTCTCTCTCTCCCTCCCTCCCTCCCTCCCTTATTTCTCTCTCTCCCCTCCCTCTCCAGGTGGTGGTTGTGTGTTAGGCAGCATGCCGCTGTCAGGAGGCACACGCAAGCAGCCAGTTCGGCTCCATGTCTCCACTCAGCCACCATCCAGACACCATTCACTCATTAAAGCAGACACGCGCCCTGCTGCAGCCTCCTCCACCCTACCTGTCACACTCACAAAGGCTCCATACCTCCTAGACCACCGCTGCTCGTGACAATTCGGCCATCCTCTGACTTAGAATGGCATTCCTTTCCTCATTATTCATTTTCAGCTTGAGATGAAACAGTGCCGTCAGAGCTTTGGAGCTTTTCAGGAGTTTCGCATAAAAGGAGCCTTTTACGCATCAATTAAAGCAGCAAAATCGGCGTTTATGGGTCAGCACAGAAAACGCTTCGTTTTATGAGTGATGCTTGGACGATTTCTGAAAATTAAGTTAGTAGAAAACAAAAAGTTCCAGTTAAGTAAAATTTCACGTTTTGCGGCCGTTTTAACTTGTGATTTGTTTTATGTTTTATTATTATTGATATTTTGTTGTTCTAAGTGCTGCCAACGAAAAAACAGTTAACTAATTAGGATTGGACAAGAGGTTGGTTCATAAGGACCCAAAAAGTGTACATTCACTCTGACTGATTTTGTACAAGAACGTGCGTAAAATGTGCGTAAAACCTGATTTGTGCTTAAATTAAGTGTGGAATTCCACTCTTATTGTACTAAAACAGGTTCAAATCTTATTTATTTATTTTCTCTCATTTAAATGGACTCACCGATCAGATACTGAAGCCCGTACTCACACCCATTTCCACCCAGCCCAGAAAATAAAGACATGAAAATAATTTCAGTAGAATCTCGTTTTATTCTTGGACTAGAACGTAGAAAATGTGATTATAAGAAATATTCAGCATCTGCTTATGAGGATATAGAGCTGGCAGTATAAAGACACGATGCGTGGCTATTGCACTCTTTGGGACAATAGCTGCACAAGTTTTGATCATTGTGACATGACGCAATACAGTAACATGTTTTGCTATTAAATAAGACACATTGGTGCTAGAATAAAACCTCATGAATGAGAAGAGCCAGAGAATAATAGACTACATGTCTACGTCGGCAAGAGGTAATAGAAGCAACTTTGTAGTATTTAGACAAAATATATACAAAAGGATACAAAACATCTATAAATCTCTTACATACAAAAATATCTTAATATATTTCCAAAAAAGCGTTTGATATAGAATTTAATAGAATAATTCCGCGACTTGGAAGCATTTTGTGGATTCTGAGAGGTTTACCAAAGCGGGTGTTGTGATTGGTTTAGCATAGATGAAGATCGACTTATTAAATAATGTGTTAAAGTTCTGGTGAAGCGCGTGAATTCGCTTTGTGGTCTTTTGTTATTCGAACAGAAGCGGGGCTCCCCGGGCCTCGTCTAGTCCTTTGGCGCTGATCTCTGGGATGATCTCCCCAAAGCTTGCGGGTCCTCTCGGCCTCATTAGCAGTCTTCGGTCGGTGTATACTGAGGACTGGAACGCGTGCGTAATGCATCTTGTTCTTGAGGACTGTCAGTCTCCTCCGGGACCATTCCAAGCGCCGGACAAGATGAGTTGATCCGTGGTTCTGTGAGGAAAATCTGATAAAAAAAACATTTTTAACCAGATATCAGGGTTTATTATTTGTTTTGTATAAATTAAACATCAACATCGCTTCCTACCACATAAGATGCTCAGAACCAGTTGGTGAAGTCCAGCAGTTCCTGCTCTTCTGGACTGAGGGGGTCGTAGGAGCCCTCATCGGAGGAGTAGGAGGACACTGGCGAGCCAGCCATGGAGTTCATGTCCGCGGAGTATCCCTGCGACATGGTGGGCGACAGGACGCCGGACTGGAACGCGGCGCTCACCGCGTCGTGCTCGTCCAACAGCTGTTGCAGGGCCCGGATGTACTCCACTGCGGAGCGCAGCGTCTCCACTTTGCTCATCTTCTTGTTGGCGGCGCCGTTGGGGACGTGCTCCCGCAGCGTGGCGAAGCCGTTGTTGACCAGTTTCACCCTGTTGCGCTCCCTCTCGTTCCTCCGCGCCACCGCGTGCGGCTGCTGCTGCGGCAGAGTGTAGCCGAAGCCCGTAAAGTGCAGCCTGCGCTTGCACCGCAGCAGCTCCGGGGAGGAGGAGCGCTGCCTCTTGAGCTGTTTGGACTTCCCGCCGCACTGGCTGCTGCCGCTGGGGCTCACCTGAAGACTCTGAGCCGCCGCGGCTGCAGCGGAGAAGAAGCAGGCAGGTGGAATCAGCTGCTGCTGGCTCACGTTAATTTCCATCTTGGCTGTGAGGTCCATTCCCAAAAGAAAAAAGAAAAAAACTCTAAATGAAAAAAGTCACCCAGTGTCCAGGCGGTGCGTGCCGCTCGTGCCGTTCACGTGTTGTCGCGCACTTGCTTCACTGTGGGCAGTCCGCCAGGCTGCTGCCGGGCGCGCTTCTCAAAGCTCAAATGAGTCCCTAAAGGAAAACTCTGCTGCTTTTCAATGCGTTTGGATGGGTTGGCCACGCCTACTGGTCGCGTGGGTACACCTTGGGCTTCTGCTGCGGGTACCGGTGTTTTGCGCGCGCCGGACGCGTGCCACTTGAAGCACTAAACAAACAAGTGAGTGGTGAGGTTTGTTTTGTTTGCAGCCAGGAGTGTGGGGAGGTGCGCGCAGCGAAAGGCAGGAAACTTCAGCGGAGTCCGGAACAAAACCACCGCTTCTCTCATTCGGTTCAGGAAGGAATAAAAACTCCAATTCTGAGGAGAGTTTGGCCACCCTGAGTTTCCAAATGAATAAATGTTAAAAACGTTTAAAAACGAAAAGACAAAATAAATGGAGCTGAACTTTGTTTTGGAGCAGGAGTTCATAGTGTGGTGCTGAATGACAGCTCACCTCGGGGCGAGGCGTCCAGAGTTTCTCTTCAGTTGATCTGAGAGTAAAATCAGCCGCTCGCTGTCACCTCATCAGTTCAGCGGTATTGTTCCCACAGAAAGCCGCTCGCTTCAGGAGTCATTGTGCTCGTGAAGCGGAATTTTCCACTTTGATTGGAGCACATCATCAGCTGCACAAGCGGAACGCAGAGGCGCAAATCTGCGGAGAATCTGCGCGGGGGTTGCTTTGTGGATGATTTGATACACTCGATGCGGTTACAGTGGCGCGGACGCGGTGCGTCTCAGCTGATTGTTGTCGCTCTGAGAAGCGCGCGGGGGAGGATGAAACGCGTCTTTTATTGGACTAACACTGAACCTGTGTGTGTGTGTGTGTGTGTGTGTGTGTGTGTGTGTGTGTGTGTGTGTGTGTGTGTGTGTGTGTGTGTGTGTGTGTGTTAGGGTTAGGGTTAACAAAATTAAATCATAATGAAATAGATTAACATCAGAAAAAATAAGTCATTAAATTATAACATTTCATAAACAGATGAAAGATTACAGTTTGAGTTAAAAATAAGAAAACTAAAGATTTAGGTAAAGCTTTAAAATGGTTTTTAAAAGTGACCAGAGGGTCAGTACAAAGGGAGTTCATTCCAAAGTCGGGGTGCAACAAGTCGGAGCACCTCGACTTTTATATCTGGTCTTTGGAACGTGTGTGTGTGTGTGTGTGTGTGTGTGTGTGTGTGTGTGTGTCCACCCATCTTTTTCTTTGGCTCTGTGAACGCGCCTTCGCGCATGCACGCCTTGTTATGTTATAATTTGTTCAATTTTTCTCTGTTGACAGTGGCATTCAACATTCAGGTCCCATTGAATGACACACACACACACACACACACACACACACACACACACACACACACACACACACACACACACACACACGCACGCACACACACACACACACACACACACACACCTACTTTCTTTTCTTTCCTCAACCCCACACACCCACCCCCGCCCAACTAGAGCGTTTAGAGAGGCGTGGGCTCCATTCAGCGTCCCCCTCCCCTCCGCCCTTCGCCAGGCTCTCTGGAACCTATCCATGCTCTTGTCAGGGTGCTCCCGGAGTCCAATTAGCGCTTTGTGGGGACGTCGCTGGTCTTCCAGAGGCCGGGAGTCCGCTCGTTGGGGCTTTCCAGGCAGAGCTGACTAATAATTATCATGACATCTGGGGGCCCGAACTCTTATTTGACCACTTTATGTATTTTCCTCCTTTCTTTTTTAGATTATACAACTAAAAATTCTAAATGCAAAATCTAATATGCATGAGAGGGATTATATTTTCTCTTTAAAGCTGTTTATTGAGATGAAAAACTGTAAAATGATTTGTTAAAATCAAAATAACAATTTAGGGGAAATTGTTAGGTCTGCACTAAATCCATTTTTGTTTTTGTTTTTAAATAAAAACTTTTGTAAAATGTATGCTAAGTGTTTAGAAAATTAGCACAACTATAATCGTGCCTTATGGGACAAAATGGAGACGAATGACTAGCGGTGGCGACACCTGGTGGGAAAAGCAGAAAGAGAAAGCCTGAAAAAACTCTCCTTTTCGACACACACACACACACACACACATTCTATCTTAGTGAGGACCATGCATTCACTTCCATTCCTTTTCATGACTGTAATGTCTAACCAAACCAACACCGATCTATTCCTAAACCTGCCTCAACTTAAACTTAACTCACACCAACCAACTAGCAAGCTTTTAAAAAGGTGAGAACCACAAAAATGTCGTCACTTCATTGGTTAAAAAGTACAAGAACACAAACACACACACACACACACACACACACACACACACACACCTACTTTCTTTTCTTTACTCAACCCCACATCAGGGCTGCATGGTGGCGCAGTGGTTAGCACTGTTGCCTCGCAGCACGAAGGTTGCTGGTTCAAAACTCGGCTGCGGCCTTTCTGCGTGGAGTTGCGTGTTCTCCCCATGCATGCGTGGGTTTCCTCCGGGTATTCCGGTTTCCCCCACAGATCACAACATGCCCTATAGGTTATAAATTGTAAGTCGCTTTGGAAAAAAGCGTCTGCTAAATGAATAAACATAAACATCTCACCTAACCCCATCTCACCCTCCACAGGTGGTCTCCTCCTTCCAAGCTTGGGTCCTCCACCAGAGGCCTGACATCTTGAGGGTTCTGCAGTATCTTAGCTTTTCCTAGATCTGCACTTTTCTGGACTGAGATGTCTGAAGTTTTTCCTAGGATCTGCTTTAGCCACTCCTCGAGTTTGGGGGTTACTGCCTCGAGTGCCCCGATGACCACGGGCAGCACAGATGTCTTCACTCTCCAGGCTTTCTCAAGTTCTGGGACCTGAGCCCCGGGACATCTCTAGTTTCTCGTGTCCCTTTTTCCTGATGTTGCATCACTTGGTATTGCCACATCAACCACAACGGCTGTCTTCTGCTCTTTGTCCACCACCACAATGTCCGGTTGGTTCTCCATCACCATTTTGTCAGTCTGGATCTGGAAGTCCCACAGGAGCTTGGATCTCTCGTTCTCTACCACTTTAGGGGGGTTACCCACTTTGACCTTGGGGCTTCCAGTCCATACTCTGCACAGATGTTTCTGTACACAATACCAGCTGCTTGGTTGTGGCGTTCCATCTCTACTTTCCCTGCCAGCATCTTCCATCCTGCAGTTATGGGGTGGATTGTCTCAGGGGCCTCTTTGCATAGCCTACACCTTGGGTCTAGTCTGGTGTGCTAGATGGTACAACCAGCTCAGTGGTCTAATGGTAGAGTGTCCGCCCTGAGACTGGGAGATCAGGGTTAGATTCCTGGTTGGGTCAGACCAAAGACTTTGAAAAAATGGGGCCCAATGCCTCCCTGCTTGACACCCAGCAATAAAGGGCTGGATTGGGGGGTTAAACCACCAAATGGTTCCTTTGTCTGCAGCTCACTGCTCCCCAAGGGGTTGGGCCAAATGCGGGAAACAAATTTCGCACACACATCAATGTGTGTGACAACTAATGGGACTTTGACTTTGACTTATATCTTGGCCTCTGTTGCTCTGGTGTTCAGGGCCTGTTCCCGTGCAGCCATGATGAGAGCCTCTGTGCTGTTCTTCAGATCAGCTCTTTCTAGCCATTGGTAGGATTTCTTTATCAGCCACTTCAGTTATCTGTCGGTGGTACATCCCATGTAGGGGTTTGTACTCCCATCATGGTAATTCCAGCACCTCCTCCTCTGTTTGCCATTGTTTGAGACCTTCACTGAAAATTTCATCTGTTGGGGGCCTTGTCCTTGATGTATTTATGGATCTTGGATGTTTCATCCTGGACAGTGGCTCTCACACTAACTAGTCCTCGCCCTCCTTCCTTACAGCTAGTGTACAGACTCAAGGTGCAGGATTTGGGATGGAACCCTCCATTCAAGGTTAGGAGCTTCCGTGTCTTAACATCTGTGGTCTGTATTTTTTCCTTTGGCCAGTTGATTATTCCTGCAGGATATCTGATTACTGGCAAGGCGTAACTGTTTATTGCTCAGACTGTTCTTGCTATTGAGCTGACTTCTTAAGACTTGTCTCACTCGTAGTAGATACTTGGATGTGGCTCCTTTCCTTGCGTCTTCTTCAAGGTTGCTATTTGCTTGTAGGATACCAAGATACTTGTAGCTATCCTCAATGCCTGCTACAGAGACTGGGTAGGCCTATCAGGAACTGCTCCAGAGTGGTCCTCCACCACCTTCCTCACCCATGGTGTCCCACAAGGTTTTGTGCTGGGGCCTCTACTTTTATTCCTCTATCTGTGCATGACCTGAATTTATTACAAGAAAGCCCACAAAGTGCTTCACAAGAACAAAAAAAAAAGATTAAAAAATATAAAATCTAGGAAAATAAAAATTGTGATTAAAAAATTGCGAGAAAGGGAAAGAGAAATTTAATAAGAAAGAGGTAATCAGTGGATCCTGGGAAAGGCAGAAGTGGTAAAAAAAAGAGTGGAACGAGAAGAAGGTAGCGATGAAGAATCAACCGAAGGTCACGCAAAAGCCAGCCTGAACAGGTGAGTCTTCAGCTGCTTTTTAAAGGAGACCACTGAGTCCACTGATCTCAGGCTCAGGTGGAGAGAGGTCCAGAGTCTGGGGGCTACAGCAGCAGATGATCTGTCACCTTCAAGGACCTGCTGGGGGTGTAGGGACTGAGAAGATCACCAATTTATGATGGTGCTTGTCCATGTAAGGCCCTATAGACCAGAACCAGGACGTTGAAATGAACCCTGATGTTGACTGGCAGCCAGTGAAGCTGGAGGAGAAGCAGGGTGATGTGGGTGTGTTTGGAGGACTTGGTCAGAAGCCGAGCACAGGCATTCTGAACCACCTGTAGACGGTTCAGGGAGGTTCTGCTCAGACACGTGAAAAGAGAGTTACAGTAGTCTAAGCATGAGGAGATGAAGGTGTGGAGAACTGTCTCAAGTTCAGAGTGAGACAGAATGGGACTCAGCTTAGCAATGTTCCTGAGATGGAAGAAGGAAGAGCGAACAAGAGAACTGACATGAGAATCCAGGGTGAGAGCTGGGTCAAAGGTCACACCAAGATTCCTGACGGAGGGTTTGGTGTGAGAAGCAAGCTGACCAAGAGAGTCTCTGACTTTGGGAACCAGCTTGTCTGGGGCACACATGAGGATCTCAGTCTTATCTTCATTCAGCTGAAGAAAGCTCCCAGCCATCCAGGTTTTGATAGTTTAAGCAGGTGTGTAACAGCTGCAGCTTAGACATCTCATGGGGCTTAATGGAGATGTACAGTTGGATGTCATCTGCATAAAGTTGGTAGGAGACTGAGGAGCTCAGGATGTGCTGAAGAGGAAGCAGATAGAGGAGGAAGAGAAGGGGCCCCAGCACAGAACCTTGTGGGACACCATGGGTAAGAGAGGTGGTGGAGGACCTAAACTTGGAGACGGCCACAGAAAAGGAGCGCTCAGAAAGATAAGGGGAGAACCACTCCCGAGCAGGTCCTGATAGACCTGCTCAGTCACTCAGCCTATCCTAGGATTGACTGATAAGTCTTTTGTTGTTAGCCTCAAGGGCAAGCTGCTGGATTCATTATCACTTGTAAGTCGCTTTGGACAAAAGCATCTGCTAATATAACCATAAACATCCAGTAGCAGGTGATGGTCAACAGTGTCAAAGGCTGCAGTCAGGTCCAGCAGGACCAGAACAGAACAGTCCCCTGCATCACTGTGAGTCAGAAGGTCATTAGAGACCCTAAGAAGAGCTGTTTCAGTAGAATGAGCTCCACGAAAACCTGACTGGAAGCTATCATAGGTGTTATGTTCATCAAGAGCAGCTGTGAGTTGTTTAACCACAACCTTTTCCAAGATCTTGGAGATGAACGGAAGTTTAGAGATGGGCCTGAAGCTGCTATGGAGAGAGGGGTCAAGACTCGTTTTTATTTTTTGGATTAAATCTTTATTTGGAATGAACATATATCAATGAACAAGACAAGATGTAAATGACACAGGAACAGAGTTATTCCAGTTTTTTTCTTCCCTCCTTTCCCCCTCCCCAATTGAATCCAAGATGAGTAGCGGATGGCAAGAACATCCCATCCTTCAGAGAGGAGTATCAAGGAGAGTCCCTTAATATCTAAAGTACTGAAAAGTGACTGTGCTCAGGAGAGGAACCTGTAATAGTTAAAGGGTGAAACACATTTATTTAAAACAGTAAACATGACCAGGAACTGAGGGGTTGCCTGTTTTTTTAAGAAGCGGGTGGATTACAGCGTTCTTAAAGTAAGCAGGGACATGACCAGAAACCAGAGAAGCATTAATTATTGAGAGCACGCTGGGACCGATGGACTGAAAAGCACTTTTAAACAAAGATGAGGGTAAGATGTGGAGGGGGCATGCAGAGGTCTTCATAGAGTTAACTAGTTTGGTTAACTTAGGAAAGAAACAGGAGCAAAGCTATCTAGGATGATGGGCCTGGTGGAGTCGGAACAATAATAATAATAATTTCGGCCATTTAAATGTACTTTTACGTAAATTCCTACATGAGGAACATTTATTTTCAGCATGACTAAAAGATGGCAACTTTAAAAAGATAATTTAAGCACATCTCTTGTGTGTAACTCTAAAAACATGCAATCATACCACTATTTCAGAAACAGGAAATCGTTTTAATTGTTAGCTGGGGAGTGGTTTTTTTAATTTATATTTTTGTGTGTAAAATACGTTGAAATAACTTGAAAGAAAAACCCAGAAATGCCAGAGCAGAAAATAAAGCTATTTTATTTTAAATCCATTCATGTGATTAGATAAATTACCAAGAAGTAAATCTCCATGAAAAGGAAAAATCACTGAAAATGTTCCCCACTGGCATCAAATATTACACTTTGTTTTTCAAAGAAAACTATTTATGTGTGTCATAATGTATAAAGACTGCATCTTAAATCAATATTATTTAATATTACATGCACTCTGAAACACAGTCTTATGTAAAATATCCAATTTGTGTCTTTATTCATCGTAGACGTGATAAAAAAAGGCTTGCAGCATCGACATGTGCTTACATCTGTAACTCATCTGTACAGGGAGTGCAGAATTATTAGACAAATGAGTATTTTGTCCACATCATCCTCTTCATGCATGTTGTCTGACTCCAAGCTGTATAGGCTCGAAAGCCTACTACCAATTAAGCATATTAGGTGATGTGCATCTCTGTAATGAGAAGGGGTGTGGTCTAATGACATCAACACCCTATATCAGGTGTGCATAATTATTAGGCAACTTCCTTTCCTTTGGTAAAATGGGTCAAAAGAAGGACTTGACAGGCTCATAAAAGTCAAAAATAGTGAGATATCTTGCAGAGGGATGCAGCAGTCTTAAAATTGCAAAGCTTCTGAAGCGTGATCATCGAACAATCAAGCGTTTCATTCAAAATAGTCAACAGGGTCGCAAGAACCGTGTGGACAAACCAAGGCGCAAAATAACTGCCCATGAACTGAGAAAAGTCAAGCGTGCAGCTGCCAAGATGCCACTTGCCACCAGTTTGGCCATATTTCAGAGCTGCAACATCACTGGAGTGCCCAAAAGCACAAGGTGTGCAATACTCAGAGACATGGCCAAGGTAAGAAAGGCTGAAAGACGACCACCACTGAACAAGACACACAAGCTGAAACGTCAAGACTGGGCCAAGAAATATGAGATTTCTAAGGATTTATGGACTGATGAAATGAGAGTGAGTCTTGATGGGCCAGATGGATGGGCCCGTGGCTGGATTGGTAAAGGGCAGAGAGCTCCAGTCCGACTCAGACGCCAGCAAGGTGGAGGTAGAGTACTGGTTTGGGCTGGTATCATCAAAGATGAGCTTGTGGGGCCTTTTCGGGTTGAGGATGGAGTCGAGCTCAACTCCCAGTCCTACTGCCAGTTTCTGGAAGACACCTTCTTCAAGCAGAGGTACAGGAAGAAGTCTGCATCCTTCAAGAAAAACATGATGTTCACGCAGGACAATGCTCCATCACACGCGTCCAAGTACTCCACAGCGTGGCTGGCAAGAAAGGGTATAAAAGAAGAAAAACTAATGACATGGCCTCCTTGTTCACCTGATCTGAACCCCATTGAGAACCTGTGGTCCATCATCAAATGTGAGATTTACAAGGAGGGAAAACAGTACACCTCTCTGAACCATGTCTGGGAGGCTGTGGTTGCTGATGCACGCAATGTTGATGGTGAACAGATCAGAACACTGACAGAATCCATGGATGGCAGGCTTTTGAGTGTCCTTGCAAAGAAAGGTGGCTATATTGGTCGCTGATTTGTTTTTGTATTGTTTTTGAATGACTGAAATGTATATTTGGGAATGTGGAGATGCTATATTGGTTTCACTGGTAAAAATAAATAATTGAAATGGGTATATATTTGTTTTTTGTTAAGTTGCCTAATAATTATGCACAGTAATAGTCACCTGCACACACAGATATCCCCCTAAAATAGCTCAAACTAAAAACTACTTCCAAAAACATTCAGCTTTGATATTAATGAGTTTTTTGGGTTCATTGAGAACATGGTTGTTGTTCAATAATAAAATTATTCCTCAAAAATACAACTTGCTGAATAATTCTGCACTCCCTGTATATCTAGGCTATAAAATACAACTTCCTGTACATTTGCACATATTTAAATCTTTGACTGGACCAGCTGGAGCCACGTCAGACCCGCGGAGGTGGAGAGGCGTCCATCTAGACAGTCCAAATTATGATTCAGTAATTTACCATGAAACCAAATGCTTGTAAAATGTGCATTAAAATAAATGAGTGCAACAAAACGTTTCATTAAGGATTTAAGATTTTCCACAGTTGAGCTCAGCTTTGTGAAGTTATTTGGTCACTTTTAAAATATTCAGCTGTTCTGATCTTGGTTTTCTCTGAGTCCATCTATTTCTGTTTCGGCTGTATTAGAATACCGCCCTTTAGTGGCACACTTAGAAATTTGCACTCAGAATAAAACAGAAGCGGCCTCTAGAGGTCAGTATTTCATTCTTAAAAAATCTGGAGATTTATTTCAGTCTCAAGAATAGTTCCTTTAAATGCAGAACTCTTCAATAGAAATTATTAGTTATATAATGCAATCTATAAAACGGTCAATAAAAAAGTTAAATATTTCATTAGAGATTAGGAGAAACACTTGTGAGCACTGAAACGTACGATTTTCGTACCAGCTGAGCTTCCGTAGCCCTCGCATCACGTGGTTTTGTTTACAAGGAAGAGGCGCCAGTGATGGACGATGTGGCGACTGTGCACGTCAGTCTAGAATAATTAGGTCTAGCACGTGTGTAAATCAGATTGGTAGTTTTTAAATCAACCTAAAAGCAGCAGCTATGCGGTCTTTGAACTTTGTTCATCGGGTCGGTTTGGATTTTACAGGAACGATGTTTCCACACGCGATCTGTTTGGGAGACGCAGACAACGACTCGGTAAACAAGTGTTTACGTGATTGTTTAAATTTACCTCCCACATCTGAGTTATACACAGCTGCATCAAAACGTCACTTTAATTAGTTTTATTTTGATTATTTACAGGAAAAGGTGTGAACAATCTACTTATTTTCAAGGGGAATTGAATGAAAACGATGTAATTTGTTATATGTTTTAAAAAACAATGTTTATAAATGAAGATAGAGTCAGAATTCATTTGAGCATCATTCTGGGACAAAATACACAATTGTGCCCAACTCAAACAAATCAGGTCCTATTAGATAACAGAGCTGAATTCTGTACCGCATACTTTGGTCACGTAACTGAGTATGTGATGTATTTTAATATGTTTCAAAAATCATAAACATTTATTGTATGGCAATTTAAAGCATCTTTAAAATACAATATTCATTCAAACTAGGATTTAAAATGATCTGGGTCTCATGAGGTCATAAAACTATGTAAATATCTTGTTATTTATTTAACATTTATTTTAAAAAAATCTAGGTTAAACTTAAGAGAGGATACAGGTAATAAAAAAATAGGCTCAATTCTTTGTTGGGAATGCAAGACTTTAGTTACTGAAGTATTTGGTGCTAGTCGTCAGCAACCAAACTGAAGAATTAAAACAGAACAATGACTCCAAGCATAGCCACGTGTTTACTGCAGAAAACTAAAAAAAAAACTAAAAAAATAAAAAGGAAGCAATAAACATTTTGCATTTACAACATCGTGTCCCGGATCTTCAAAGCCAAACATTTAGAGTTGGAAAGAGGATGCCAAAACTCTTGAAAACGCTTGTCTGTTTCCAGCTGAATGAGCTGATCGTTGGAGACACGAGTGGAAAGCTGCTGGTTTACAAGAATGATGATTCCAAACCCTGGATCACCAGAACCTGTGTGGGAATGGTCAGCACAAAATCCCTACAAATGCACAGATTTTAGAAAACATTTGAACGTATGCTCACATGGCGTGGTGCTTTTACAGCTGACGTGTGTTGCAGTCGGAGATGTTTGCAACAAAGGGAAGGTGAGCAGAGACGTTTCAAAGGCAGTTGAACGTTATAAATGTTTAAAGGTGATCTGACTGTGATCTGTTGTGTGTGTCTGTCAGAACCTTGTCGTTGCTGTGGGAGCAGAAGGCTGGTTTCACCTTTTTGATCTGACAGCTGCAAACCCAAACAAGTCAGATTCTTCCAGCCAACATGAGTTCCTGTCATCTGATGATCAGAGGCCTTTCTTCACCCAACACATTCCTGCCAACACCAAAGTCATCCTCATTAGCGACATCGGTACAACTCTGGCTTCGTGCCATCAGCATTAAACGTGTTTTTGGTGTACCGTGTTAAATCTGATCGTGTGTGCAGATGGAGATGGGCGCTGTGAGCTGGTGGTGGGCTACACAGACCGGTTGGTGCGAGCTTTCCGTTGGGAGGAACCGTCTGACAGCTCAGAGGGGGGGTCGGGTCAGCTGGTTCTGCTCAAGAAGTGGCTTCTTGAGGGACAGGTGTGAATACTTAGATTTATTTATTTTTTGTTATTTATCTGTAATTTACCATGACGGATCAGAAAGGTTTTGTAGGCTCAGGAAGCTGAAAGGAAAGGGACTCAAAATAGTTACTTGATTTACTTATTTTTCATTTTTTAACCTTATTTTATTTATTAATTATTTTTAAAGTTATTTATTTTCCTGATTGTTATTGAAACTTGTCGAATAACTGAGTGTATAAAGGAACCTGGCTGAGAGGTTTTATGTAAGAGCTTTATGTTCAGGAGTGAAATGATCCCAGATACGTTCCTCCTGTGATATATCGCTGCTGAAAGATGTGACTAAAGAGATTTTAATGCTAGCTCACTGTGAAACACAAAAGTTTTCAAAATTCATTAAATAAATAAGACATTATGAAATAAATATCTACATGAAGAAATACTAGACAATCATGTAATCTGACAATGAAATAACAGAATGTTATGTAAAATCTAAGCTTAATATTACGAAATATTTTTCATTCTTTTAAAATGTCTTCATTTATATATTTTTCAAAAGTCATTTTTTCATAATAATCCTAATTAATATTGAGCTCGGACATTCGGGAGGGACTCGGAGTAGAACCGCTGCTCCTCCGGCTCTAAAGGAGTCAGTTGAGGTGGATTGGGCATCTGGTCAGGATGCCTCCTGGACGCCTCCCTGGGGAGGCGTTTCGGGCATGTCCTGCCGACAGGAGGCCCCCGGGTCGACCCAGGACACGTTGGAGAGGTTACATCTCCAATCTGGTCCGGGAACGCCTTGGGGTCCTGCTGGAGGAGCTGGTGGAGAAGACCAGGGAGAGGACAGTCTGGAGCTCCCTAGTTGGGATGCTGCCCCCGCGACCCGGACCCGGATAACTGGAGGAAGACGACGACGACGAATATTGAGCTATTTTTATTTAATTCATTCAGTTTTTATTACATAACGTCTTTTTAACAAAGACAGCTTTAATTTCATAATAGTGTTTTTTTTTTTCCCATGGCTGATTTATTTCATAATGAGACTTTACAGCAGAATGTCTCAGTCCGTCAGTCAAGCCAGTGGGTGCGACCTGCAACACCATTGGTTAATCCTTCAGCATTGTTTGGTTTTCCTGGATTTCTGCTCACCGTACATGACCGGACAGTTTAAGTTAGTTCTCTGTAACACCTTCCTAGGTCAATGGTCATGAAAGATGGTGGCGTTGCCTGAACTTAGTTTAGTTCTGTTTTCTTTGGCAGATCAAATAGAGTTGAATAGTTTGTCAGACTGACCCATCATAAACCTTTGTCGGCTGTGCTGAAAAGAAAGGTGCATAACCTAATTATTTAATTAATTAGCTGCACGTTCCGATTTTGAGTTGTTTGGATGACATTTTTGAAGCGTTTGGTTCAATACTTAGTGAGTGATTGCTTTTGTCTGACTGAATTAACAGCCAACGACACACTGGCTCCACCCCGTTAGTCTTGACTGACGGACTGAGACATTCTGCTGTAAAGTCTCATTATGAAATAAATCAGCCATGGGAAAAAACACTATTATGAAATAAGAGCTGTCTTTGTTAAAAATATGTTATGTAATAAAAACTGAATGTTTAAAGGGACATTATGGAAGTGTGACAGCCAAAACATGTATAGAAATAATAAATGTCTTCTTCATACGTTCTCCTGCAATGCCCTGGTCCTGTAGAATGAGCCCTGGCATTTTTACTGTGATTGCCTGTTTTTCTGTAAAATCACAGAAAAAGAGAGATGCTCGGGTCGAGCAGGCTGCTTCATGCTCGTTCATGCTCAGGCATCGCCCGTAACATTTGCTATCAGTAGCTTTAGCAGGAGAGAGAGAGGCAGTGCCACTTTGTTGCTGTTCCTAACGCCTATTGACAAAGCTAGCTACATTTCTGAGGACCCTTAGCTACTTTCTGTAGAACTTTCTTCTAGATATTTCCTGCTAATTAGCAACAAAATAGCCATTTTCGCTCCAAACCGCTCTTTGAACGTTGTTTCAGCTGTCATCAAGGATATAAAAGTTACAGATACTATGATTGTTACAGGTGTGTAGCTCACCTTGTAAAATGGCTGACTCCTGTGCTGAAGACCTGGGTTCAATTCTGGATGTGAACATAATTTATTTAGAGTTTATTTTTTACATTAATGGTATATTTTTTTACAGTAAGATGCCCAAATTTTTATTTGAGACTCGCTGAACAGTATTGAATTCACAGATAAAAGAGATGTGGGTTCAACTTTCATTTTGGAACAATTTTTCAAGCAAGGGAAGGGAATGATCTGAGCATGCAGGAGGACTGACCCATCATAAACCTTTGTCGGCTGTGCTGAAGAGAAAGCTACAGAACCAAATTATTTAATTAGCTGCGCGTTCTCCTGTCCTCTGGGCCCCACACACACACACACACACACACACACACACACACACACACACACACACACACACACACACACACACACACACACACACACACACACACACACACACACACACACACACACACACACACGCGGGACTGTCTCAGCTGTTATTTTCGTTAAGGAGTGTGCACGTACAGCATGCACGCCTCGTGCACGAGCCTACTATTGAAGCTGCCGTTACGCTTTTGGCCTGAGGGGGCAATCGCGAGCATAAAAATTCAAAAGTCCGTAAAGTCCCTTTAAATAAAAATGGCTCAATATTATTTTGGGTTATAATGAAAAAATGACTTTTGGAAAAAAAATTATATTAATGAAGACATTTTAAAAGAATAATGAAAAAAATGTCATAATATTGAGCTTAAATTTTACATAACTTTCTGTTCTTTCATCATTTCATTGTCAGATTACATGATTGTCTAGTATTTCTTCATGTAGATATTTATTTCATATTGTCTTATTTATTTATTGAATTATGAATACTTTTGTGTTCCATAGATCACGGTTCACTAAACCTGAATATTGTATAGGTTTCTTTAGAAACCTTTTTATCATTATTTTAAACTAATTACAGCAAATTTAGCTAATTGATTACAATTTACTATTTTAATTACACTCATTAAAAGCAAATAATAGCCCTGAGTTCTCAGACGAAACATAACAAATCAAACTATGCGAGGGGGGGCTTACTCCTCATACGTTATGACTGGGGTTCAAAAGAAAGTTAAAACAATAGCTTGAAGGAGTTGAAGCTAATTAACCATAATATTCACGAACAGGGATTTTCATGTGAATTTTTTTATTTAAAATATGAAAAAAATTGACGTTTTTGTGATTACAGACCCCCTACAGTTGACTGTAGCATTTTAAGTTGGCTTCATATGATACTTTATATTTAAACCTCCCGCCGCCATTTTTATGTTAATCAGAATTCACAACAGTTGATAATTTTCCAGTGTTACAGTTTGAGAAAGTAAGTAGATAAAATGTTCTTAGTGATATTGTTCTGACCTTCCTTACAGAGTTTCAGTGTTAAATTGTGTTAAATTTGAACGCTGATGGAAAAGTGTTAAGCTAACCGGCGTTAGCATGCTATAGAAAGCATTTTCAACCCAAGCTTTAAAGAAATATTTTTAGGGAACCTATTTAGGAATTATAATTTTTTTTAGTATTTTTACTGAATTGTGGCAGATGGAGAAAATCCCGCTGGCCAAACAAACGGATAAATATTTTAAAAATATACCAAAATATCCAGGTAGCTACAACCGGCTGCTAATCCAGTCTCCTCTCCTTTTGGTTGGCTCATGGGTCGCCGAACAAAGTTTCGTTTAGTTGGTTTTATTGTACAAGGACAGCGCAAAAGACAACCTTACATCATGAATGCAACTGTTGTTTTGTACAGAGGTTTTCTAGCCAAACATAGTCATTGGTTAGACTTTTAGAAACTATCAAATAACAGTGTTTATAACATTTATTATTCACCACACACACAATCAATGTAAATAAATTAGTTTAGCTAATTAGAAACATGAGTGTTCACAAAGAAAAGAATGGAAGCGAATGGCTTTGCCTTACCCCCTGAATCACACTTATGTTGTACTTAAATTTAAATGATAATTCATTATGTGAGTGTGAGACTGTGTTTGTCACGTACTTTGAGGTGCTTGTAAAAATTCGTCATTTAAAAGACTACAAAAAGAAAGAGTCAGCAGGAGCTCAGGAGGCAGAGCTGGTTGTCCAGTAATTGGAAGGTTGCAGGTTCGATCCCAGCAGAGAATTCTGCTTTGTGTCCATGGGCAAGACACTTAACCCACCTTGCCTTCTGGTGGTGGTCGGAGGCCACCTTATCTCTGTCTGCTGTGGCTACATTGTAGCTTATCATCACCAGTGTGTGAATGTGTGTGTGAATGAATGGATGATACACTGTGGTGTAAAGCACTTTGGAGTCTTCTGACTCTGAAAGTTGCCACACAGGTGCGAGTCATAGCTGCTATTTTCCACATGGCCAGAGTTATGGTGGTTTTTTCCACGTTTAATGCGACTTCTTTCGTCCCGGCAGAATGATGTCAATTTTGCTAAACTCAGCCATTTTTTTCTCCACTTCTTCATGTCTAGTTCGATAACGTCAATTTAGTGAGACGAATATTTGTTGATCGCTTTGTGTTTTCAGACAAGACCTAAAACAACTTTTTCCGTCCGTTAAGAAAATAGCTTTCATGGCGTCAAAATGTCGTTGTCGTCGTCTTCCTCCGCTTATCCGGGTCGCGGGGGCAGCATCCCAACTAGAAAGCTCCAGACCGTCCTCTCCCCGACCTTCTCCACCAGCTCCTCCGGCAGGACTCCAAGGCAGATGTAACCTCTCCAACGTGTCCTGGGTCGACCCGGGGGCCTCCTGCCGGCAGGACATGCCAGAAACACCTCCCCAGGGAGGTGTTTCTGGCATGTCCTGCCGGCAGGACCCCAAGGCGTTCCCGGACCAGATTGGAGATGTAACCTCTCCAACGTGTCCTGGGTCGACCCGGGGGCCTCCTGCCGACAGGACATGCCCGAAACACCTCCCCAGGGAGGCGTCCAGGAGGCATCCTGACCAGATGCCCAAACCACCTCAACTGACTCCTTTCGATCCGGAGGAGCAGCGGTTCTACTCCGAGTCCCTCCCGAATGTCCGAGCTCCTCACCCTATCTCTAAGGCTGAGCCCGGCCACCCTACGGAGGAAACTCATTTCGGCCGCTTGTATCCGCAATCTCGCTCTTTCGGTCATTACCCAAAGCTCATGACCATAGGTGAGGATTGGGACGTAGATCGACCGGTAAATCGAGAGCCTGGCTTTCTGGCTCAGCTCCCTCTTCACCACGACAGATCGGCTCAGCGTCCGCATCGCTGCAGACGCCGAACCAATCCGTCCGTCGATCTCCCGATCCCTCCTACCCTCACTCGTGAACAAGACCCCGAGATACTTAAACTCCTCCACTTGAGGTAGGACCTCCATGGCACATATCAAACAGCATCAGAACATCACTTTTATTGCATAATGCCAGAAAGAGATCAGAGATTTTAATGCTCGCAACAGACTTTTATATTTTAAATAGATCTCCCTGTTTAGTTGATCTGCTGTTATTATAACATGTTTTTAGACATTGGTCCATTTTCGACAATAATCACAATCCGAAATTCCGCAAACAAATTGTTCAGAATAAAACAATCTCACAATCTTTTGTCACTGAGATTTCCTTATAAGTGACTAGTCACCAGTGTTATATTTTTAGGTAACAATTAAAAAACCTCTGATGTTATATATTCTTTTTATTCAATTTCTATCGCCACATTTCTGTGCTGTCTGAAACAGATTATTGGGGGATAAGTTGCGGTTTGTGATGTTCATGCTTCCTCTTATGCAGGTCGACAGTCTTTCTGTGAATCCAGGTCCTGAAGGTATACCTGAGCTGATGGTGTCCCAGCCGGGATGCGGCTACGCTATCCTGCTCTGCACCTGGAGGCAGCAAGACTCCACTGAGTCTGAGGAGGATGACCCTGCCACACCGGGATGGTACACCTCAGCAGGATTTAGATATCGGTTGGCCTCTTGGAAGATTCGTCTTTAGGCATAAATACCTGTTTTTTTTTCATAGTGAAGGGCCCTCCAGAGATGTAGTTCTCCACCTAACCACCGGGCGGATACACAACAAAAATGTTTCCACTCATCTCATTGGCAGCATAAGCAAAGGTAGAAATCAGAGGAAACTTTTACTGATTAGTTTTGTGGATCTTTGTTACTGGTCTTAACCCATTCACTGCCAGCTGTTTCCTGATCAGAAAAGCCAGTCACTGCCAGCATTTTTCAGCGTTTTTACTGATTTTTAAGAGTCACAGAACGTTGTGTGCAATGATGTTTATGTTTATGTATTTAGCAGACGCTTTTGTCCAAAGCGACTTACAAGTGATAATCGGCATGTTGCCCTTGAGGCTAACAACAACAATAACAACAACTTGGCATCAATCATGGAGAGGAGGGAACAAAGGAGTGGACGGTGGGGGGTGGGGGTGGGGGGGGGTGGGGGTGGGGGGGGGGGGGGGAGGGTGCTAGTTTAGAAGATGCTCTCTGAAGAGAAGGGTCTTCAGGAGTTTCTTGAAAATTGAAAAGGAAGCCGCAGTTCTGGTAGTGCTTGGAAGGTCATTCCACATTGATGATGTTGATGTCGACGCCAAAACTAACCAAACAAAGAGGAGACTCACCTCTTACATCAGGAAGAATCTGCACATTTCGAGCTTTATCCGTTCTTTCATAATCCGTTGTTGAATTGTGATCGGCAGAAGCTTTTCCGGTTCGCGCCTCACTTTTTTAACAGCAGCGGCCCAAAACGATCTCCTAACACATGGATGTTCTGCTTCCTGATCACGTGACGTGTGACGTATGTGGATGAAGATCGGCTTTAGAGCTGAGAAGTTTGTTCTCACGGTGCGGGGCCTCGTCCGACGCCCACACAGTAAAAAAAAAATGCTAACGACGACTTTAGTCGTCATTGGTAGTGAATGAGTTAATGACCAAAACCTTCTTCCCTTCCCTACACATGAACTCTTTGAGCCATGGCTGCGATTTACGTGGTTGTTTTTGGCATTTGAAGAAAACCTTTTTTACATTTATTATTTATTTTGTTTGTCTTCTACCATTTCTCTGGGTCTAAGTTATTAATTAAAACACTAAAAGGTGAGTGTTAAATTAAGATCGACCATGCAAACAAAAATGAGCCATAATATTAAAGAGACAGTCAGTAGTTTTTACCTTTAGTCTCTGGAAATACCCATCAAAACATTGGAAATGAATAAAATGATATCCAGTTGGAGGCTTCTTACCATATAAAAATAGAATTCAGGTCTAAAGTACATAAGGTCCTGGTCTAGCCTCTTTGGGGTGCGCCATGTTTCCTTCTGGCCAGTTTGGGGTCCTGCGCCTGTCGTTGACGTCACAGCAGATCACTGGCTGAACGTACAACTTTTTGAAGTAATGTTACCTCGTTCAAAAACATTTAGGCAGTAAAAAACACACATTTTATAACAAAACTGCTTAACTCTTTCCAAAACATACATAAAATAACAGATTTGAAAAAAAAAAATGCAATATAGTTTCGCCGAGCGGTATTGTCGCAGTTTGATGACATCATTGGCAGGCGCTACCCCACAAGCTGATCCGGAAAGGACAGCGCCTGAAAACAATTGGCATTGCATTCTCTTTTGGAATTACCGGAAAAACCATCAGAGTTTGAGGAGTCACACCAAGGTTGCTTTCTTTCTGCTCCACAGGTAACATTTACTGTAATGCTTCTTTAACCCTTGGAGGTTCCTTAAAAAAAGCTAAACTGGGGACCCTCGCACAAAAACATGCACTTTAGCAAAATGCATAATAAAAATTATATAATATTTCAAAAGTCAAACATTTTTTCCCACAGATTCTTTCCTTAGCTTCAGTCCTCACCAAACATAGTAAAATAGAGTGTTTTTGAGCTTTAACCCCTTTAGTGCTACGTTTTGTCAAAAAAAATCAACAGTATAAAAAATTGAAAAAATATAATTTTTTTGTGTGTTATGTTCACATCACTTCTTTTGGGGTTGAATTGTGAATTGCTTTGGAGAGTCACAAATGAGCAAAAAAAAATTTTTTTTGTGTTTCTCTTTATTTTTTGTATAGTGCCAGATATTCAGAAAAACACATCCAGGTCCCTTGCACAGAAAAATGCATTTTCGCAAAATGTGTAATAACATTTATATAATATTTCAAAAGGCAAACAGTTTTTTTTTACACAGATTGTTTCCTTAGATTCAGTCCTCACAAAATATAATAAAATATTTGAGTTTTTGATGTTTAACCCCTTTGGTGCTAAGTTTTGTCAAAAAAAATCAACTTTATAAAAAATTAAAACCTAAATTATTTTTTGTGTGTTACGTCCACAGGACTTTTTTCGGGGGTGAGTTGTGAGGGCTCTAGAGAGTCATAAATGAGCAAAAAAAAATTTTTTTTCTCTGTATTTTTTATGTCAGATATTCACAAAAACTCACATCCAGGTTCCTCGCACAGAAAAATGCTCAATGATAGTTGTGTGTGTGTGTGTGTGTGTGTGTGTGTGTGTGTGTGTGTGTGTGTGTGTGTGTGTGTGTGTGTGTGTGTGTGTGTGTGTGTGTGTGTGTGTGTGTGTGTGTGTGTGTGTGTGTGTGTGTGTGTGTGTGTGTGTGTTGCAAACGGTGCACACATCAGTGGAGTGCTGATTGCAGACAGCCAGGTGACATTTGGAGCAGAAGCGGGCAAACATGCTTCGCTTGCCTTGGCAGAGATGGCACCTTTCTTTCATCCTCCTCTCTTCCTCCGGAGGGCTGCTCTGCTGCTGGTCGACCCGTCTCCGCTCCGGGAGCGGTACACTCCAGCCAGGATCAGCAGCCCAAAATATGTCCGCAGCTCCGTCACGCCAGTCAACGTCCACTCGTCATTTCTCCGGATCCCCTCCGTGTTCGTGTGGCAAACGGTCAGGTTGAGGATTTCATCCGTAGTAAAAAAAAAAATTAAAACAATATTCAATGCTTTCTGTCTGGCTCACGGCGTACCGAGTGATACCGGGACACAGGATTTTTTCTCGCCGAAAATGATGGCCCTCCTGCGATATGCCGCTCTTTGAACTCCGCGGAGAATTATCTGCCCCTCCCTCCTCCATCTCTTCATCAGATTCTTCTCCCTCTTCACCATCCTCATCAGGGTCAGACTCTGGGCCTGCTGGGACAAAACTGTCATCCTCCGAGTCCACAGAGTCATCTTCAGAAGACGAGCTTTCCCCGCTGGAGACTGTTGGTTCCTGCCGGGCTTCTAGCTCATAAAGAAAGTTCACATGCTTGTGATACATTGAGACGTCGTGCCATTTTTGCAGTGGATAAAAACGAATCCCAATCCGAGCCGTCTATATAAGCATTTTCAGCAAGGACACAAGTGTAAATGTAACCTAGGCAACACTGGAGCTGCAGAGCTCAGGCGCCACACCAGGGGTTCACGACGGCACAGGTGGAGAGCGAGGGTGCAAAACCAGAGGGACAGAGACACCAGAGAGCACAAGTTGGTCTGCGACCTCTTTTATTAACTAAATAAAGCCCCCCGTCTAAAAGTATATAACCTAAAAAAAGTTTGAGTCCATAAAAGTATTTTAAAACATATTCTTCAAGAAGACCCCCAAAGAAACTTGGGCTCCTCCCAGATCCACAAAGTCAAGCGGAGGGAATTTCCAGCATGGGAAAGGCGACGTCCCGGCTTCAGCGTCCGACTCCAGCAGTCCCTGGTCTCGATCTCATCAGGCACTCGTCTCAGGCGTGATCTCCCGGGGGCTCTCGCCGCTCCTCCCTGACAAGGACAGAACACTGGGGCAGAACCGTTGTCTGTGAAGCAGTGTAATCTCTTTCTCGTAGGATCGGCCCACACGGAGCGTCACTCAGCATACAACAGTGGAAGCCGTCTACTCACGGATGCAGGCAGAGGTCCAACCTCTGCCCTGCTGTCATTCAAAGGCGTCGCTCCCACTCGTTGTCGCTGCACGCCAGGCATGAACTGCTCCTCCCGCGATCCAACCCGTTCTGTGCTACGTCCTCTTATATTAGTCCAGTCCCTCTGCCTTCTTCTTTCTTTGGTCTCTTTTTCCTTCCTGCAGTTCTGCAGCTTCCTCCCTTTATCAGCCTGCTAGCTATGCACACCTGGTGCGCTCTCAGTCACGCCCACCTCTTCAGGTGACTGTCATGTCAACAGTGGCAAAACAATCTAAACTAAACATGCACATAAAACCAACAACACACGACAAAATCATACAATAACACAAAACTGTTAAGAAATTCCAACAATTATTAAAAGAATTTAAAGCAACAAAAACACACTGTCCACTGTGGGACCTCAACATTGATTGATGCAGGCGTTTGATTTTACAGGCTGCATCTTTGAAGTTATAGCTGTTGATACTAGTGTGTTCATGAGCTGTGATCTGTTCAAAACGTCGTATTCTTGTTGGCATTACAACTTGCAACAGTAAAGAAGTTAAAGTTAAAGTCCCATTAGTTGTCACACACACAGGTGTGTGTGCGAAATTTGTTCTCCGCATTTGACCCGTCCCCTGGGGGAGCGGTGAGCTGCAGACAAGCCGCGCTCGGGAACCATTTGGTGGTTTAACCCCCCAATCCAACCCCTTAATGCTGAGTGTCAAGCAGGGAGGCATTAGGTCCCATTTTTTTCTAAGTCTTTGGTATGACCTGACCGGGAATCGAATCCCTGATCTCCCAGTCTCAAGGCGGACACTCTACCACTAGGCCACTGAGCTGAAAATTGTTTGAAAATTTGCAGCACATTCGGTTTATATCCAGCTACCACAAAGTTTTGGTGTAGATCAAAGAGTCTTACAGTGACATATAAAGCCACCCCCCAACCTTTACCACCCACCAAAGCATGAAAAAATCTTTCCTCTGGTAATTTGTCGATTGCACTGAGTCATAAGTGCATGCATGTGTGCAGAATCACACACACAAAAAGCACGTATAAATCTGTTGTTTAGGATTTTGCAGTGATTTTAGACTTTGGATGAGAACTGATTTTTCTAATGAAAACTGAAAAATCACAATTGCATAAATTATCAAAACTCACATGCACACTAGTTTATGACCTCTTTAAAAAAACACTCAAAAATTGTTCAAAAAAATCATTGCATTGTGAATCCAGGGGCCACACAATCTTCAAAACATAAATTACTAAAGTGTATTATAAATCAATCCCCTGCCATTTATAGAGATGTCATGCCATTTGGTGGAAAAAAGTAAAAACAACAATTTTAGTCCCCAGTGGCTGCAGAAACACAGGTGGAGTGAAATAAAAAAAATATTTGAAGTGATATTTAGCTTTGTTAGAAAAATGTTGTTTCAATGGGAGTCTATGGCACCAAAAAATGTCCAAGGACCTCAATGTTCCTTTTTTGTCTATACAATGTTTTAAATAGAAT